AATGTAGCCATTGCAATTAAATGAAGAAAAAATTTACTAATAATGTAATTTTTCAAAACTTTATGAATGATATCCTGAAATTTTTTAGGTAGATATTTTTTAATCTCATGGCAAGCAACATTATTTTTGTCCAACTCATGAACACATGGGAGTTAGATAACCAATGAAAACATGAAAGGCATAGGTGAGCGTTTCTTCCTTTCATGGGAATTCTGAGCGATATCTTTTTATGACCTCGCAATCGGAAGTTGGAATCAAGACCTATGGTGTCGCTCTCGAAAGCTTAAACTCTAGACCACCGAGCCGAAATTCATTGATGTGCAAATCTGACCCATATCAATCTACAATATTGTGCAACCATCTTCCATTGCCTTCGGTGGGTATCTTCTTAAAACTTTACAGGGTTTTTCTCCACTAGTCGCAGCTTCTCGTTTGAACCGAAATTTTCTCTTGGTACTAATTACTAATGAGCACATGATGATTGTCAGTATGGAGTTGTGGAGACTGTTGAATCTTATTGTAATCATGGACTGGTCCGAGTTGGAAGATGGTCGCGCAATATCGTGGATTGATTTAAGTTGAACCTGTACACCGTTGAATCCCAGGTCATTGATCTAGAGGTTAAGGTTACTAGGAAAAATACAATTCGATAGTTTATATAAATCCATACAGTATATTTCTATCAAAGATGAATAGTCTTTTATTTTGTGTTTTACTGAATGTGATTTTTAACCAAATGAGCTTTCCTGTTCATTTGTTTATGAACTTGCAAAATATTTGGTTTTGTTTCGTTTTTATTTATTTTATTTAGAAAAGTAATATAGAAAGACATACATAAATTGTGTAAACGGGAACGCAGTTAAATAAATAAAAAATAAATAGCCAAAAATCTGTATCATTAATTGATACGGTATATGATTTAGTTTTTTGTAAATATACTGACATGTCTGGGGATCTTTTTCAATTTCACGATAAAACTTCATTGATCTTTACCTTTTTATTGCACATATGCGCGTAAACATATTTAATTTTCATTATGCTGGATTTGAGATCTGACGTTTCTCCACTCCAGTTTTTCTGATACCGCGAGTAAACACCGTCAAAGATTCTACGTGTAGGATGTAACATTTGGCTAAATAAAGCCAGAACAAACATTGATGCAGAAGAATATGAATTCATTATATTTCGCGGTTTCTCGTCAGCTAAGTTCATATTATTCTGCATCAATGTTTGTTCTGGCTTTATTTAAATTCATAAAGGGAACTAATTGCACGAAATTTGGCTATATGTTTGACGATTTTGAATGGTTTTATTTCCAGGAAGAAATGAAAAGTGCATTCAAATAAAGTAATGTTTTACGGAACTTCTTAGGAAAGATGGTTGCAAAAATAAATATACTTTTCTCTTGTGATTTTGGCTGTCTTGAATTTTGAAAGACATCCGTCTCCTATGATATGATCCCTATGCTGTGCAGAAGTTTTCTCTTTATCAGTTTGTGGTGTGAAACCTAGTCTGAGGATTTAGAGAACTTGCATAGATTCCAGGTGTACATTCAATAGCCTAATTAAAGTATTGCTCTTGCATAGCGGAATCTCATAAGTATGTAGTTTTAAGGTGATACATTTGGTTTTAGATACAAAATAGCAGCCGATTATTGAGGCTACAAAATTTTATCATGTGACGTGATTCGAACATGTGCTACAAATGCCCGGCAACACCCTTCTAAAAGAAAACATAGTAATGGTAAAAATAATTCAAAAGGTGGAGAAACTGAAACATATCATTAGTTCTTTAAATCATTGCCTGTCAATCAGAGGTATTTGGTAAAATCTAGACTTCCAACCGGAGACTGACGACATGACTGAAAATCGTTTTTCATGACAAAGTTCTATCAATTATCTGTTTTACTGTAAATCTTAGGCTTAATATTATTCTATCATTTTTACCCCTCAAATTTATTTGAAATTATATTTTCCATGATAATCTTTTCGTTACAGTTAGTATTAATTTCTCTTCCATGCTTTATCTACTGGTAATTTTTTACCTGGTTATGCTGATATATGTGGCAATGTCTACCAATATATTCGTCCCAGATCTTATGTTTCTCTTAGTCGACAGATAACTAAGTTCACCCAAGGGAAATGGAACATTACAACAAAGTTGTGAGATTGTAGATATGATTGAATTAAACATACATACATATGTACTCATATATATTCATGTTTTAGTTGTAAATGTTTCTCAGTATATAATAAGAGTTCATTTTTCTCCTTTTTCTTTATCTTTTCAAAATAATAATTTATTTATTCACTATCTATCAATCATTATTTATCTCTTATCAGCCTATAGGGTCAATAAATACTAGCCTTAAACAAATTAAGAACAAATGAGAAGTGACAGGTATCTCCCTTTATTTATGCAGAAAAGGCAAAGTAAAAAAGCTATTATAACCCTTTCTTTTCAACGATGAATATAATAGTAATAATAATAATGACAATAGTATCTATTTCATGAATTGTTTTTATTGATGTTGAGCATAAAATCTCATGAGTTGCTATAGTACTGAGATTTTCTGATTAAATAAATGCGCACAAAGCGACCATGACAGCATATCATTTACAGTACTGTTTATGAACTAAATGTAGGTAAATTGTCATTGAATTTAAATGATCTACTTTGGAAATACATTCTATTAAATAATCGGATTAGAATGAGTGAAAATGAAGAGTTTGTTTCGCTCCCCTTTTTAGATTGTCCTTAATTATATTTTTGTTGAATTCATATTTGTCAGAATGATTATTAAGTGTTTATGATGTATTATAACAAAAAATATTCAATCAGTATTCCATGACAAATGAACAAGATATAGTCTGATAGGTAATCTATATGCATAATTACATTTAGAAACATATTAAGTTTGCGTAAGGATGTAGGTACATACCTTTAGTTATTCAAAGGTCAATTATGGATCTTTTCAACTGTCTTACAGTGACAACATCGAGTGAGTATTCCTTATGTTGAGCATAAAGTACTGAGTAGAGATAATAAAAAAGGTTGGTGAGCCTGTAAGCAGTTCTCGACTGTGATTGTCGGAAGAAGAGTTAGATATACACAGTCATGAAAAACATTGAAATGAAATGCTTGTCAGCGAAGCTGTAGATTGAAGGAACCATCTAGAAACGGTCAGACCAATATAACACAGTGATAAAGTCTTATATTACATAATTCAAGAGGGGATGTAAGGACATAGAATTATTTATTGTTTGTTTCCTACCCATTCCTATATTTTGTAATGTTATACACTTCTCGTCTCTCTAATTCATTTTGTTACATTATAACCTACAAACTCTATGTCATGTTTGCAACTTATAACGTTTTAATTCCATATTATTACATTTAACGTTTTGCCCTTGAGTTTACAAATTCAGAGTAAGGTACAAAATTTTGAAACAACATAAATTTGTACTAAGTCTAATCTCTTCTACCGATATGTGTACTATTATGCATACATACTGAGAATTAATACATTAAGGATCAGGATAAATTTTACCTACGGTCAGCTGAAGATTTTTTCATTGCTTAGTGTTTTGATTGTTATTGATTTTGGACAAAAAAAATTAAACACTTTCCATAATTCATTTTGATGGTCAGTCTGAAGAGAGGTAAATCAAATGATAAAAAATTAGTGACTCGCTAATTATTGGTCTTGTTATATGTATCTCAATAAATTCTAAAGATAACAAAAGTAGTTATCCACTTCAAACTGAGCTAATTAAACACGACGTCATTTATTCTAGAAACAACATAAAACATTATGTTTCACCAATTAATGTCTTTTTTTCCAAAATATATTATAAAATACTACTAGCTAATCATATTTATTACTGTTTATCATAAATAATTAATTATCGAATAATTTATAACACTGTTCATATTTCTTTTTAATGAAACTTATAAATAACAATAAATCAGAAGTGTTTTCTTTCGAAAATGCCAAAAATTTAGGAAACTTAGTTCCAGTCAAATTAGGAAAACATTTATTTTTACAATTTGCTATCAGTCAAGAACATTACAAACACATAAGTTCATATGGAAGTTTAAAAAAAACCATCAGTACGATCTGACAATTTATCGTAAAAAGGTTGCAAGATGAAATATTTCCTCATAATGGAATAGTCATAATATTTGAGGAAAGCATTTGTATATATATCTTAACTTTTTCTAAAACTTAGTACGTTTTTTATAAGCAATGATCGATGGTGGCGAGCAGTGGTATCCAGGACGAGCTTTTCTTTCTATTTGGGACTTATCAGATGGCTGTATCTTTAAGTTTAGATATGACCATCTATCTCTGCTTATAATACTTGCGGCCTAAAATAATATCGAGTCATTCGGCACAGGACGCACATGTGTCAATAAGGGACTGATCAATTACAGTCCTAAACATCAATGGGAAGATCGAAATAACCAAAGCAAAAATGAATGGTAAGTTTGTATCGAAAAATCCTCTGCTTATTCGAAGAAGCTATAAAAGACGCTGGGAGGTGTGTTCAAAGAATTTCTACTTCAGATAATGAAGCTTTGTGGTATAAATTTTTATCAACAAAATACCACTTTCAGGCGTATTCGAGGATGATATAATCAGTAGTTGTTGAAGAATGTGAATTCATGTAGATTGAGGTATCGACGATGTACAAGTAATTTCTTACATTAAAGCATAGCTTAAATTCATTTCATTTCAATAAAGAATAACAATGGTGTATCCAGACAATTATTTTTGACAAAGTTATCAACTTATCATGTAAGAATTTGACTGAAAATATAAGTAGAAACCTGAAATACTGGTAATCTTCTGATCTTAATATTTAGTTATGTAAGAAGTATTTAGAAAAGTCTGCCTATAAAAAATATTGTTGAGCTATTGTTTCACTTAAACTTATTTATACTAACATTATTTAATTTGTTTTCTTCTGTTTAATGTTTCACTTTTCTTCACAAAGATTTTGGTGGAGAGCATAGTTCCGGTGATGAAACTGAAGGTGAAGTTAGTTGGATCGAAGGTGTTGCTATACTTTGTGCTGTTGTGGTTGTAGTTTTAGTGACAGCAACAAATGATTGGCAGAAAGAAAGACAATTTCGTGGTTTACAAGATAAAATTGAATCAGACCATAAAATGTCTGTTTTACGAGATGGTGATATTACAGAAGTACTAGTTGGTGATATTGTTGTTGGTGATATATGTTTAGTGAAATATGGTAAGTGAATTTTTCCATAATTTAGCTTGTCCAGGAAATAATTCAATATTAAATCTTCCTACTTTCATTTTGCTACTATTTTTTACAGATTTGATTGTAGTATTTTATTGTTTATACTTAGATTAATCTTAAATGTTACATAGATAATTGTTTTTTTCTAAATTAGCATTGTCAAATTTCTTTCATCTTGCTATGTAAATAATGAAACCTTTATAAATTGTTATCAGATGATCAGTTGAATAGTGTGCTATGAATCTAAAGTGATTTGGACTGACCTTTTTGTTAACCTGTTCTATGTTCACCATGTGCATGTATTTGTTTTCCTATCTAAATCAATTTATTAGTTATCTGTTGGATAGCCTATATATTCATCCAGTCAAAATAAAAATGTTCTGACTAAAAAGTTTTACATTGAAATCATGAACCAATTTTAGACCGCCACTAAAAACATAGGAATAATGAACTGCCATCCCATCCTAGTATGGGACGTCTCAACAGTGAGCATCCATCATCCTGCAAATAGTATTCAGAACAATGTCGTTCAAGTTAGCGCGCGAGCGCTTAACCTCTAGACCATTGAGCCAGCATCCAATGGTGATAACGTCCAACCTCGTTCAGTCCAGGAGTTCCATACTAGGACGAAATAGCCGTCTAGTGCTCTAAGGTTTTCAGTGGTGGTCTGACTCAGATTGGTTTATGATTCTAATGAAGTTCAGCAGTTTTCACAACCCCATGGTATTATTCTGTTGATAGAAAAGGCATGTCTTGTTTAAGAGAAATTAATATATGACTTTTTTTATTAAACTGTTTGATTGAATGAAGGTCACATAAATTATGCGAACCAAGTTTCATACAATGGGAACGTGACAGAAGGTTAACAAACAATAATACTAACCGTATGTGTTTTTGAGCGAATAATATAAGCAAGAGTTATCACTTTCATTGTCAAAATGTCATACATTTGGTTTCTCCAGTCGGTTTAGAAAACGGTGTCTAGTTTATATTGCCATTTATTTATATTTATAATGCTTTCCATGTTAGAATGCTCATTTTCCATTGATCTGTTAGTTTACACGACTGGATTAGTTTTTTGGGTTTATGACCTTTGAATATATCTATGACGCGGGTGGTGAAGTTTGAGTTGTTCTTCATTTTAAGTCTACTTAATTTAAACGTTGTATTGAGCCACTGATTTGAATATTTTGTCTAGTTTTCTTTAACAGTATTTATTTACAAACTAGTCTTCCCCAACTGTATCAAGTTATCTAATGACACTTTTACCAGATAATCATTGCTTTTTGTTTAATTTACACACCGAGTTTTATGCAACACTTTAGTATCATAAAGATTTACATAAAATTTATAACACTTCAGTGAACCCCTCTCAGACGCGAAATTCAGACACGATGTTTCATTTATAAATCTCCCAAAACATGCAATTAGTTTTTATAGCTTGTTTGGTAAAATACCATATAAGCAACTAAAATCTAATCTTTTTATCTACATTTATTTATAAGGAAATTTATCAACTGTCTTTGCATTTAATTAAAGGATAATTTTCATCACGAACTGATGTCAAACAACAAACCTATAAAGATTAGGAGGCTTTAGGGGTCTGTTTTACCTTATACAGAGCTATTCAGTATTGTGCACACTTCATTATTTGATACGGAAACAAAGCACTTGCCGTCAGTTTTAACAGTGAATATAAAACATTTTAAATTCTATTCATGTGGCTTAGATCAGATTTATTGCAATCTTTATCTAATATAAATTGCTTCATTGGATTTAGTTGAATTGCAAGTACTAATGTACCGTATTACAACAATCACTTAGTTTTTGATTATATATATATATATATATATATATATATATAATTTTTCATGCTAAAGGGACTGAAACTCCTTTTACTGAAGAAAAAATGTAGATCAGGACTTGTATCACTATATTTCTTTATTTAGATATGCTACACTTAAGTTCATGGGTTATTCTCCTAGTTTCTGGTTTTTCCTCTGTTTGTTATTATAATAATTATTATCATCAGCTTCTTGACCTTGATTTTTACATTTTAAATAATCGACAACATGGATTAATGGAATCAACCGAGAGAACACTAAGTACAAATGAATTTCATTTTCATTATTTGCTCATTATTGATACTTATTATTATTTTAAATAAATTAATAAGAATATGATTGTTTTTTAATTTGTTCACTAACTTTCTCTTTCCTTTCAGTAGCTATTTTGTTTGGTTTTATTTTTCTTATCTTTCTATTCTCCTGTCGTGTTCGGCTTCTTGTTCTTTTTTCTCCCTAACATTTTCTCTTCTCTCCACTTACATTGCACATTCTTTCTCAATCAGCTATGCACTTATTATAATTTGTTTGTTTTTGCTTCTGTTTTCTTCATAATTTTTTCTTTCTTACTGTTCCACTTTTTTATTCAGTAGCTTCTTGTGTTTTCTTCTGTTTTGTTTGTTTGCATTCAAAAATCAAATGGAAATTAGGATATCATATTTGATAAACTATTCACGTGTTATTTTACTGTAATTGTTTGTATCCAACTATCAAAGTTTATTTTCCTGTTTTGAGTTCACTTGTGTAGAATTGTTTTTTTGTTATTGAGCTCCAACGTTATTGATTTTCGGGACAAAAATATTTATCGATGTGATAGAATACTTACCTATGCATGTATATATATATATATATATATATATATATATATATATATATATAATGAGATAATTAATTATATAAAAACCAGTGAAATAGTTGGCAAAAACATAGTTATCCGCGATAATTCAATAATAATAATAATAAGTATTATTTATATTACAAATTAAATTTAATCTGTATTCACTTCAATGTTTTCTGTTTTTAAGTTTAATATAAGTTTTCTTGATTTAATTATATTTTAATTTTCTTCTATTTATTTTCTTTTTGGAAACAAAGTTAAAAGGTAAACTTTATCTCTTGTTTCTTCTTTTTTTTAATTAATTTTATTATTTTTAAATAAAGAATTTTGGATTTCTTTTTACGAAACGAAGTAGCGCTACAATTCGAGAAACATGGTAAACATGACAATACAATTGACAAAATCTAATGCATTATGCAATGTAAACGTTGTTTATACAATTGTTTTTTTTTTGAAGTTAACAAGATAAGAGCAATGGAAAATTTAGAAAGGTGGAATGACTGGTATCAGTCTCAACGTGATTAGCTATTGATTTGTCAGTTTATTACGGTTGATTCGGATACGAACCTTTCCTTATTCATGTCGAATATTCAATGTTGATCTCGACATGATAATCGGATATTTTAAACATTACCAGAGTTGACTAAACTAATGAAGTATCTTGTTACTATTGTTTATAAGCATTTAAATAAACATTAAGTTAAAACATTGTAAAAAAATTAATAACCTGTAAGATTATCTTGGAACGTCAGTCATTCAGTTAAACAAAAACGTAAAACCTATACCGTATCTGCATTGTTTTAAATCTCCACGCCACATTAGCACAACGGATCCTAGGTGAGTGGAAGTAGTAATAGTAGTCGAAACCATTAGGTTATAAAACAATGTATTTAAAACAGATTAAAAACTGTAATATAATTTTTAAACTCAGTATCTAAAAGAAGACCAGGAGTAAATCCATCTACCCTATTGCAGTCAATCCTAATCCATGTAGCTCGATTTCCAAGCATCGAGTACAACAATGAGACCGATTGCAATGATTAGTCTGCAACTAATGATCCTGCTTTATCTAATAGCCAATAATTTCACTTCTTGGTTTAGCAACCTTTAGCAATCTTCAAATATACTCCTCAACCAGCCATGTTTCTTATTGTAAACATTTTTCTGCGAATCCCTCTTTAATATGTATGGGTTATACTACATGGATTAGTCTTTAAAAAAGCTACTTAACGTGGTATATCAACATTTTCAATTTATTATTGTAGACATAAATGGGAAACCATTTATTCTATTTTCGTTTACAAATTACGTGGATGAGAACATGGGAAGGCTTTTTTAACTCATGTGACCAATTCTTTTAGCAATGTTATTCCTTTTGATTTTATTTTGTATGTACGTGCGATTCAAATCACTAGGCGGCAAAACCTTTTTTTAAATATTGAAGATTTGTTAGACGTTGTTTACATTGTAGATCATCTATTTGTTGGAAACGTTATATTTAAAAAGATCAAATACTCTTTTTTAGATTTTCGAACTTATTTTTATAGTTTTTTGATCATTATTAATTAAATCATTCATTTTTAGTGTAACAGCTTTGTATGGTCTATTAAGTTATTGATGCTGTCAATAAATTATCTGGCTACTCATTACAATGTTACAAACTAACAAAATGTGTTTGTGACGCAACTTGTTCAACATACAGAGCTCTATGCACTCGGATTTAATCCATATTGCTTTAGATTTATGACGGCTTTGGAGTCTATCTGGTTGATCTTACAACTTATCAGTAGAAAGCGAAATATCTAAAATAATAAAACCACTCGTTATTATGATTTGTTTAGCTAGAAATAAATACGATATGTGTTGTACAACTGTGTGGACGTCTTATTAATTTCATTTAGTACATGATGACTGATGAACTAGTGAATAACCATTTAGAATGCTTTCAGTTTCATCGCTTTTGAAATAGAGCTGTTTCGGCATAAGTTTTAAGGAGATGAATAACTTTGAATAGGTAGCTGAAGAAATTACTAAGTCAGTGCAACAGTAGTTCGTCCCTTGCTCAATTCAACCAATTATTTTAATTATTTATTACAAGTGATCTAATTAAAATATAGTCAAAACATACTGTACTTCAGTCTTGAGGTAATGTTGTTGTATGAAAATATTACCTTAGATTAATATCTTGCCTGGAATCGGTAATGTTCTTTTTGACAACCCGTTTCACTTTTTGCGTCTACACTGGATTTGAGGATTTCTCCGTATTACTTAGAGGGTTGAAATGTGAGTATTCAGACAGGTTGTAC